CAAGCAAAGTACCTACAAGAACGAGCAATCAACAAATTCCGGACTACTCATAGCAGATACCAGTGTGGGGAAGTGAACGATAACAGGTTTGAAGCTTTGAAGAGCTTCGAAGGTAGGACGTTGTAAATCATATTTAAATTGAAACCATTTTAATCCATATGGTTTGGATTTGAGTCAGAGTTTGTGCAACAACCGATCGTGCATACGACTGTACCACTGGAAATGAGTGGGCCAACGTGCAACACGAGAAGTTAATGTCTGTGATGAGTTTTATGATAGAGTAAGAAGAAAGACAACCTGGTGATGAAATTGTAAGGTCCGAATTCTAGTTCATGTTTTCTGAAGTATGAGTTTCTTTATCTTGGAGGAGGGGATAGAGCTACACACGGTTTTCATGACGTAAGAGTACGAACACTTGCTCTTATATGTTCGTGTGATAGCTAGCAATTTGACATTTACGCATATCTACAGAGCTACACTTGTCGGTAACCCACAATTTTTGAGGAGACACTCAATTCATGTTTGGAACCGTACGGCAGCTAAAGATTCGGCAGCCGAATTGCAAGGTTTGTGATACTAGAGAGCTACAATCGTAGGTAACCACCCCTCTAGAGAAGCAACTGGTTGTTTATTTTGAGCCGCATGATAGCATGTCGTATGTTTAGTAAATTGTGGTCTTTTTTGGAAGTGTGAGGTTTTGGAAAGTGTGGGACTACAATCTGTGGTATACTTGGACGTGGATATGAGAGGTTTTGAAGTAAATGGAGTGAAGGAACGGTTTGGAAAACGGGCTAGTCGGTCTAAGTCTTTAGATTTTAACATTTCGTCTCGTTTATCGGTTTTTTTGCACGTGCATAGGTGCTACAACTTTATGCGTGAATCGGGCACACATTCTATGACCGTTTCCAAAGCAAAAGAGCCTTTGGCCATGATCTAATCATAATTTACTTCGTCTGAGGTGTATGTTGCTGAACAAACATCCATCTGTCGCTTTTGAAATGTAATGAAAAACCTGTTCTTGATATATCCTTGTCATTTGTCACACGACTTCATTGCGGAAGGAAATAAGCAAGTAGCCTGGTATGCGATTTTCAAACGAACATATAAATGTATAGGATAAGACGTATGTTATTTGTGTTGTATAATACTTGAAACACGACAATTTAATTTTATTAGTGGCCTCAATTTTCGGAGCACCACGTTAGAAATCAGTTTTTTATATACTGATTATATTATGAAAATATATACTGGTATATATTTTTGTACCGGTCAATACATTCCAATAAAAACAATAAAAATATTAATAATTATACAGATTAACCCATCGTCCATTGGATGTTTCCCGTCGGACCATTTACCGCGAGAATGACTAAACTTCTCTACTCCATATTAAAAAATAAAAAATATAACAGACAGGAAAAATAAAATAAATATCCGTCGACGTTTCCGTTCAAACGTCGGACGGACAGAGAGCTTTTCTATAACTATCATCTTACGTGGTCCTCCGCTTATTTCTTAAACTTTTGTTAAAGGATTGAATACATTTCGTTAAATTTACATAATTATTGACACGACGTCATTATTATCAATAATATAGTCTATAGAAATCATTTCAATTCAAATTTTATTTTAAATATCCTTAAACAGATAAAGTAAAAAATGAAACCAACTCGCCATATAATGTTGTTAACAATTGCAGTATGAAATATTAAGAGAATATATCTAAATATTTCGTAAAATTACAAATAATAATACAAATAATGAAAAAAATCGCTTTTAAGACCAATAACAATTCAATCAAACGTATAATTAATATAACTAAAAACCTCACGAAATCCCCCATCCTTTTGAAAATGTTGGTATTTATAAAATTCTCGTTTTTTAAATTTGTTTTCATATAAGATTAAAAATAATGAAATTAAACCTAAAGAGTTGCATGAAAACTTAAAAATGCACCCTTTTGTGTAGAAGAAATTGTCTTGATGTATAATGGATTTTTATTCTTCTAAGTTATAAAATTAACTTTTCAGAAATTTTAAATTTAATGCTTTTAAACATTCCTCAAGTATTTCTTTGTTTTTATACAATGTTAATATATTTACTCATACACAGAACTATAGTAAAAACTCGCAGGTAAATCAAATACTGAAAATATGTAATTAAATTAATCATTTTGATTTTTATCATGATTCTTTCGGTATTATTATGATCTCTATTGTAACAATTTTCATTCATAATACCTTATACATATATTCTTTAGCTAATTGTTTTATAAATTCATTCAATACCTATTATTTAATTTAAATGTTTATGTCCTCGCTTACCGAAGAATAAAAATATTATACCCTACCCAATAAGAAAACGTGTCGAAATTACCAGACCAAGGCATATGCAGGTGTTCATATTGTGAAATATTATTATTAGGGCTGGGATTTCGATACACTTTGCATTTTTTTCCAAAGCTTTTTGTGCGATGCTCGTTTTGTTACAAATATGTTTTAGGTATTTTTAAATTAGAATAAGAAATTTTATTTTCCATTTTTTTGCATTTTTTGTCAATTTTTGTTTTTACGTCATTTTCTCATTTTTAGAGTATTTTAGGGGTTTTTAAGTAATTTTTGATGTTTTTAAATTTAAAATGAAACATTATATATTATAGATTTTTTCTACCGACGGATTAGCATTGTTGTGTATGGTAAGCAATGTAAAAGTTGCTGCTGAAAAACGTTTTACCATACAACTATATATAGCAAGAAACAAACATATACTAGTAAATTGAATACAACGAAGAGAACAAATTGAAGAACAAAAAAATAAATATATGTAATAAAGTTTTATTACCGATATATATGGTCACACAAATAAGTCAGAATACTTTTTAGAATTAACTTGTGCCTTTCTTTCATGTAATATTCCGTTAAGTAAACTCGATAATTCTAAGTTATGTTAATTTTTGGAAAATATTATAAATGGACAAGAAGGCACACAAAATTAATATCTGGATGATCTTTCAGCGAGTGATTTGACATACTTTAAATACTCAACTATAACTTCAGTAAATGTAGAAAGAAGCTTTACTATCTACCAAAACTTATTGGCGGACAACAAGAGAAGTAAAATAAAATATTTATGTACATGTAATGCAATTTTTTTAAATTTTAAGCTATTTTAAATAAACTTTAAAGACATTTTTTAATGTATTTTTAAAGGTTTTTAAATCATTTTTGCATTTTTTTAAGGTCATTTTTCGCGGTTTTTAAGGACATTAAAATCCCAGCCCTAATTATTATTATTGCGCGTACCTTTTATTTATATACATATTCAATTTTATAATTTACGTACGGTATTGCGAGCTAAAGGTTAGTAAGCAAGCCCAAATGCACCGGTTCTGTTTTTTATTCTTATGAAAATCGAACTCGACTGGATAAAGAAAACTATTGCAGTGGAAGCGTTCTACACGAATTCAATACATCAGATATCGGACACGGAACACTCGGAAAAATTTTGAAATTTCGAACACCTGTTTTAGGTGATTAATATTTCTTTGTTTCGATCTGAAATCAAATTTATGTATAATGCGTATCATTTTCCTACGATCCAAATTTTTTTTTTATTTTCTACATCGAATTATGTGATTTTCCGTGATATCGGATTTCCATCACAATCTAGTCGCTGCGCCATCCGGCACCGATGGTTCACAAATCATAAAATGCATAATATAATACCGTATACAACGCATACGGGTGTATATCATACATCCATAAGCCTACCGTAAATGTGGTTAACAATGGTTCGTTGGATAACTTGGTTCGTGAATTTTTTATAATAACATGTATAATACACTAATATATTAGTTGCGATCTAGTCCTAATATGGTTTTCTAGTTGTCATTTAACACAGTTTAACGCTACGAAAACAGGCTCATTGTAAGGAAAAAAATAAAATAAACTTTAGCAGTTTTCCGTTCGTTTGTTAACAGGTTAAACGTATGGCGACCGAGTCAACCGATCACTGTCCAAGTGAAACATTTAGATATATTAACTTTTCTCCCCGAACGATCCACGTTCTATGGAGGACCGTGTGCGATCTACTGTGTTTTAAATATCTCTAGAATCGTCCACAAACTACACACAGTAATATTATATATCGGTATTCGTGAAAAGCGAGAATTTGTAGGCGAACAATGTATAGAATATAACAGTGTTTTCAAACTTTTTTTGTCCGCGGAGCCTTTATGTTTTCAAAAAAATTTACGGAGTCCCGAAAATCTGGAACTTATATTCAAGACAACAATAATTATTAATATTTCATATTGAGAAAAACGCAGTTCAAAATTTCATTTTTTTTAAAGTTAGGATTTTTTCATTTGCTATAAAAACTTTGGTCATTTTAAGTTGTATTGATAAATTAACTTAATTTCATTTTGGGAAGATACCAGCCAAGTTATGAAGTTATAAAACCAAATTTTATGAGAAGTCTTAGTTGGAAATAAAATTGGTGTCACTAAAATGTATAACTCGTTGCGCAATTCAGGTTACCAGTGTTTTTCCTTAATAACTAAAAAATTTAATAATATTTAAATTTAGATAATTAATATATGTCCACGGAGCTCCTATACTTCTTCCGCGAAGCCCTAGGGTTCCGCGGAGCACAGTTTGATAACCGCTGGAATATGATATATAAACACGGCATAATTTAATATAATATTAATATAATTATAATAATAATAGTAATAGTAAAAATAGTACATACAATTAAATTAAATGAATCCTGTTTCCGATTTCAACACTTCAAAACGATATGTACACAATGTTATTGTAATTCCTTTTCGTTTTTTTTTTTTTTTATAGTTACACAAATTTTTAGATAACAATAATAATAATAATATTAATAATAATAATAATAATAATAATAAAAATAATAATAGTAAGAATATATTTATATATGAATAATGATATACATATATATATATATATTAATAAACATTATAATATTTTTGTTATTAAATCTAAAAAAAATAAAGTCTTCGTAAAAAAAAATCGCTGTCGTGAATGTTTGCTCGTGTTTGTTGTGTGTGTCTGTGGGCGTGTATGTATAATATACATTGTATATTCATCGTGTGTGCGTTCGTAGTATAGAAAACGGATAGTGTACAACGATAAGGTTTTATTGTACGATTATTGCAATATTATATTAGGGTTTTTGGATCGTTTCGAAATAGCTTTGAGTCCGAGAACGTACGATACGAGTACTGTAAATAAAAAACGGTATGATTCGTATTTTCACGTGGTACGCTTTATGCTACGTTGCTGAAAAGTAATACGATTTGTTTGGATCCAGAGAGTTTACAGATATTGTGACGAATGATAATATGTAATACGGTTTTCATAAAATATTTGTATCAGCGGGTCCCGTGGTATCCGCAGCCCCCGGAACCGCTGCCGCAGCCGTCGTCTCCTAAGCGTATCCCTGTCGGCGTTCCTCGTTCCTTATGCTACTGGCCAAGCACAGCGAGAAGATGATACCGATCAGCTGAAAAATCAAAAAAACGAGTTATTACAATCGATACGTAGCGCACGTGTTTACAGCCATAATTTTTACGGTTTCCCAAACGGAAGCACAACGATCTATTAGAAGGGTGAAAAATGATTTCGATCAAAATTTATTACGTGTCCGTCTTGTGCGGTGCACTGGTCTATGGGGCACGGTTGAAGATAAACGCGTCGTCTAAGACTCTAGATAAAACTATTAAGTCTTAGACGACGGTTAAGTCGAAGACTAAGCGTCGACCGCAATACGACGTTGTGGCTCGAATCGTTCGAAATTTGTCCGGGTTGAAAACGAACAAATTGAGCATGGGACTAAGTTACGGTTATAGTAGATAAGATGCATTTTTCATTTTTAACGATACGCGGGTTCGAGTAGTGATTCGAATAGTATGTTTAGTTTACAGGAAAGTAAGATAATGATTTTTGTAATCGTCTGTCCGACACGTATGACATCGATTTCGATTTATTCAGAATGCATCAAATAAAGAAAAAAAATATATATATATATATTCTGCAGCATTCTTCAACCGCCGTTATTGTTAAACTACAAAAACTTTGTGGCCAGTGTAGGTTTATCAATTAGTCCAACAGTTTCCGCATTCGTTTTAACCGACCAGTCGAGTAAAGCGTTTGCAGATAAAAATTATTGCACCACATCGGTAGACACTTATCGGATCCGATAAAACAATACACCCGCACAGATTTCGAATCCAGACAGCATATCGAACAGAACAATGGTAACATCGTAAAAAATTTAAAAAAAAAATTAAAAATCTACGACTGATGCAGTCAAAGCAATATCGATTATAGTTAAATGAAATAACGATAGCGTACGATTTTCGAAAGTGTCGTGCGAACGAAATCACAAGACATTTCGTGTTATCGAAACGAACCGAAAAAATTGGAAATCATTTGTCACGCGTTCCTAATCCAAATAAATGAATACGAAAATTGAAATTCAACTTGATTTTACACTGCAATACGGAATGGATATTAGTGAATAATAACAAGTTGTACAAAATATGCAAAGCAATAATACTCTAGTTAAAATGTATTTTTATCGTTTTCCGTGTAATATCACGACGGTGTCACTGTTATCGTAAACGGGTTCATTAGTCCAAAAATAATAACAATTTACTCTCGTTATTTTATCACACACGAACAATTTTTCGATCGAAATAATTGAAGTACGAATATTATAAATCCAGATACGTTTTTTCAAGCAGTCGATTACAAATTAAATAAATTTAATCGAAATAGTACGTTTTTTTTTCTTTGGTAGTTGAGAAACGCTAATCATAATAAGAGTATAAATATATTTTTTCATTGTTATTGATATAGAAGCGTACCTATTCGCATCAATGGAGTCATCAATAATTTCATCAAACATTTTTTTTTTTTCAAATTACGACATCAGTCTTACACATACGTCGTATGCGCTGACCATGAATGGAGTTTTAAGAATATTCCAAACACTTTTGTTGCATTTAGCGCTGTACGAAATATTTAGTGAACACTTTTTCGTCAACGATTCTCAATAAAGGTACATTCGTTCTCCGTTTAAATGCACTTGATAAATATAATTTTCCCTGTTGATATGCGACGCGTCAGTGGAAACGTTATAAAAAATACTTTTATACATGAATAGTTGCAGAAAAACCGACAATATTATAATACTGTAATGATGACCGATTGAAACGTGTTGTGTCTGATACATTATCATCATTATGTTATTATTGAATTATTTTAATAATATTATTATACGGTTGTTGGTTACACAACACAAAGATCTTATGAACGTTTCAACGTCAACGGATGTCATGCCGTCGACGGAACAAAAAAAAAGAAACACTATTTCGACTGTAAGGTTTCGAAGGAACGAAAAACAACTATACGGCCACAGAAAAACGTAAAGAATTAATCGTGAACAAAATAAAAGCTCAGGCCCACGTTCAGCATGCTATACACTATACGAGATCGAACGTGGTCTTGTTCAAACGGATTTATACACGTAAAGTGTACACTGATAAAAGAAGCCAAGTCACAATATTTATACTATTGATAACATTAATGGCGTTTAGCCGATCACGAGAAGTTGAACGTTACGATTACGATATTCACAACAGTTCAATATGTGCTCTATTGCATGTCTGCTTATCGACCAAATGTCATTATGTTAAGAATAACACGATATTTTGACATGAGTAGAATTGCAACTGTACGTAACGAATAATTCGTAATCGCAAGTCAAATGGGACCAAACGCCGTATTGAGTTAGCCATCGGACGAGAACGCGATTCTCTCGTCGGCGGGTGAAATCAAAAGCGTTTAGATTTTGCCGACTCGGTACAATGATGTACCTTCGACACATGAGGTCGTACGAATATTAATGTTGTTCGCGGGCTCGGACGTTTCCGTAAATCTACGTTCAGACGACGATATTTTTCTCGTGTGCCATATACGGGATTTTATCGAAAAGAGCAGTGGCAGCAAATGTTCACACGAAGTCCACGCGCGAAAATTCCGTATTCACGAAATATTTTTTTTTCCGTATACCGTACGAAATTGTCACTAAGATTCGATAAATCTCGAATGTATTTTTAACGTATACGCGATCAAGTAGCGCTTGTCTTTATATTATGTCGTTCACACGAACAAAATGTTATCGAATTCGTTCATTACGTTCATCCGTTCACTCGTATGTTCAACGCATATTATTATTACTATTATTAAGCTCTTTAAAATGGAAGTCGATAGTATTCCAACAGAGTAAAATCTTTTTCTAGTCTTGATAATAGATTGTCAAAATTAGCTATCGACATACGAAAATAATTATAAAATTTCTGTTCTCAGTCAGGTTTAAGTATAATTTTTCAAAACGTTTTTCACGTCATGGACCATTCTCTAAAAGAGGATGTGCCCAGAATCTTCGATGTACCAAACGTTTCTAATAAACATTTCTATATCAATAAAAAACGAATGGAACACGTGAATCTATGATAACAATTGTGTGTTAACTGCCGACAGTCCACGCATCAAAACCCGTACGTGAAAAAATCGAATCGAATATTGTGCCTGTGTGAATTGCCGTCTCGTATTCGATAAAATTCTATACGTGAAAAAATCGAATCGAACAGTCACCGTCTGAACGTAGCCTAATGGGCGGTTGGGGTGTCGTTTCGATTCTCACCTCACCGCCGGCGATTGACATGACCACTTTGAACAGCGAATTCGCGTTGGTCTTGAACATGTTCACGGTCTTGTGCAGGCAGCCGTCCTGCCAGGCCTCGGTCTTGGCGCAGGTGGTGCCCGGGCCTCCGTCGGTACGGCAACAGGAGTGCGGCAGAGCAGTAGCGGTGCGTTCGACCCAGTCCTGCGGTCCGTCAACGCCGCAGCAGTGGAACTGGAAACAAAAAATAAAACCGATTACAACACCAACGCGTTTCTGATATTCAAAAAGAGACGATACGAAATCGTGTCGATCTTTTTATAATTTTTGTCGCACAAAATACGACCCACCGGTCGAATCACGAGCAAGGCTACGAGCGCGTTACAAATTAGAATTGGCCCAATGAGTCACGCGCGTTTTAACAAAAACATAATGCATAAATTTGTACGCTCTGCAACGTATAGAAAATAACGGTTTGCAAACAAATCGGCTACGAACTATAAAGCTTGAACCGTGAACGGACTTTGTATCGTAAACGAAGCGTCGTAGCATCGGTGAAACTAGAAGAGCGCTTTGGGTTATTAACACGGATAATTTTCACCTTCAATATTCAATAAGGATCTCGATTTATGTGGTGTTCTATGAATTCTTATTTCAGTACGGTTTGTTTCACAACACGTCAACACGTACTGTTAAGATTATATACGGTTTCGTGTACGAAAACGGTCGATCGCTGGAGCACCCCCCCTCCCCTCCTTGGATCAATCTTTTGGCCAAGTCAACATGTAAATTATTTAAATCTGAGCCGCTGCCACTCGACTGTTCGTCCGATGACCAAAATATTCAGATGTGCCTCGAGAAACGTGGGCGTGAAAACTGTGCTCGACGCAGGAGTGCCGGATTAATTTATACATCGGCGGAGCGGTGTCCCACGACAAAAATAACGATTACGAAACACGACGCGACAGAGAGGGAAAACGAAACGACCATTTCGAAGACAATCGCGGCCGTTTGCGGAAAAAATAATTGGAAAAGTAAAAAAGGGCGACTACGGTACAACGTTAAAATTCATACGTGGGCGAGACACACTATGCAAATTAGACATAGATTATAAGCATGAGTGTCTTCAAGGTAACCGGGCCAACGCTACCCATTACGAAATGCGTTTACTTTAATTGTGATATCATATGAACCACTTATAACGTAACGCAAGAATTATGATAATCGTATATCACGGCGTACACACGCACACACTCGCTATGGAAAAATAATAGTGTAATATTATTATATATATATATATATATATATGTATATATATATTAAGATCGGTTTATGTGAAACACTTCTGTGATACTAAATGCGCGCGGTTCGACGACCACGTTTATGGTTTCAGCATCGTTTTGGTATAATCGTTGCAGTGCTTGTCACTCACGTCGTGTTGAATCTCGTCGAAGAAGGCGCGCGATTCCGTTTTGTTGGCGTAATCGTTGAGCACGATGGTCATCGATTTCCTAGTGATCTCTTCCGCTTGGTCCCGGTTGATGTACAAGAAGACTCCGACGGCCACCTCCAACAAAAATATTGCCAACAGGAACATTGCGTACTGAAAGAAAATGTAAAAAACACGGTCATGTAATATGTTTATCGAATATACACGTTACAATAATAATAATAATTAACACATATAAAATAGTTCAGCGCGCGTACAAGATAATATTATATTATCATATCGTACGGCTGAACGACGGGGTCGGACCCTAAGTGCAGTAGTCACTTGATTGGAGATAATTTTTAGGCAAGCAGCGTACAGATTTCCGCCTTGCTAGGGGTACGCGTACTCTTTCTTCAGTTGGATCAGGCTCAGCGCGAAGAAGAAAAAAACATTGCCAACCAATATCATCTGCTCCACCACTCCGTCGTCTGTATTATTAACAAGTCTACACGTTTAAGCGTAAGCGGTTATTGTTTCGAGTTCTTTCCTGTACTGTTAGGCATGACTTGACTATGGGAACGTGATTCGTTAATGATAATTAATGGTACATAGGTACAGAGTTATTATAGTTATTGTTTACGGACGAAAACGCGTTATTTGAACATAAAAACAGAAACAATAACGGCACGCCCTTCACATATGTATTCTATGCGTTTAATATACGTCGTACACATATTATGAATTCGGTTTATAAAATAAATATTTTGACCTCTGCTGAAACCACATAATATCGTGATGATTATCTAGAATATTACAACTTGACGGTCCCGCACTTTTTCGAAAACTCCTATTGACCAGGAATTTTCCGGACAAAAAAAAAAGTTTTACGGTTTCAACAGGTCGAATTTGATAAATTTATAACTCGCTATCGTTATAGTGATAATAATAATATCGTTAATAAGAGAAACGAAAATTACCTCGGAGTAAAACAATTGGAGTTCTCTTACAAATTACAAATCAATTTTATTTCTACAATCGCTCTAATTTCTAATGGAATCAACACTGTTCATGTAAATCGAACGATCACTGTCGGTTACTCTAGCAAAGTTGCAGAACATCTGTATTTTCTCGTTTCTAAATATGGACCTAAATACAGTGTATTACGCATACGTATTATTTGCTATCGCCCGGACACGCAGACGGACCGTTTCGTTTTCTCTTCTTACACGCGGGACCATAACTAACCGAAACGCCAACGTGTAATCCTGCGACGTTGCGTAAGACACGGTTATATGTACACGGTTTAATTAACGATATATTTTGTTATCATACCGTTATCGTTATCATGTTTGTTATTGCTTTTTCTTCTTCTTTTTCGGCGATCGATTACTACAACGAGTTTGTAAAATAATACGCGTATAACAACAGTTCGTTTTTAAATCAGACGCGTGCGCTCGAGTACCGATTCAGTTCGTTGACCGTGCAGCGTGTTATTAGATCGCGACAACGAGCGTAATGATTATTTCGACATCAGATAAATCGTACGGACGAGTTGGGAGAGAAGCAAAACATTTTAGTCGTTTCGTCCGCACAACCGAACATATAGTTTTTCGTCCGCCGAAATCAATTATGTACGCATTTGGTCGTTCTACGTCACAATGATAATCACCCGAACACGAAGAGTTGGTAAATCGAGTAGATAAATCGCAGGACACTCTAACAGGACACGGAACCATATAAACGGCAGACCACGTCGAACGGTATAATACAGAGCAATTCAAAAGTCTTCATCCGATTACGAACCGATATAGCTCAGCAATTAGGTTAACGACCGATGTACCAATGGAAAGATAAGATAGTCAATTTTATTTTTAGTTTGTTTTATGTTAGTTAGAAGTTCGCCGATATCTGAACGGCGAACTCCATCAACGGTGGCGAAAAGGAGACCATGATTCGGCGATTCATCCCTGGCCACCCCGTTCCCCAGACCTTACAGTGTGTGATTTCATTTTATGGTGCTTTATAAAGAATAAAGTTTATGCACCAACATTAGCTACGGACTTGGAAGAGCTCACAATCAGGATTAAAGATGTTTCGAATGTCGTGATACAAGATATGATCAGCAACGTTTGGGAGGAATTTCAATACCGTATTTCAGGTGGGCTGTAGGGGTCATATTAAATATTTTTACGTTGTAACTAAATTAAATCAAACTTAATCCATTTATGAATATTTTTTACTTCATTCCATCCTAATATTTTTATTTAACGAATCGGTCGAAGGGTTTCTTATTTGTAATTTTTTTTTTCTGCGCACGCATTTATCGGGTTCACTGAGAATAAAATGTATCATTATATATTTACAAGGAAATTTCATATTTCAGTAAGTGCTGTCCGCGAGGAGAAATAGCATAGGACTATCGATAAAGAACGCGTTTCAGATTGGTCCAGTACGTATTACCATCCATGATAATATTTGTGACGGAACCGAGGATAGCGTTTCTGTTGTATACACGTTTTCGGCTTAATCGGAATCCGTATTAGTCAGGTTTTGCCGCAGTAAGTGGTTTCCTCGCAATAACTCATTAGTGGCTATTTTCTCCCAATCCGGCATGAACGCAAATTAACACAAAAATAATGTAAGAAGAAAAAAAAATGTTAAATAGCATACCAGAGTGATCATGCAATGACTCTCCCGAATAGCTCCGCAACATCCAAAAAACGACACGACGAACACCGATCCACCAATGATGATGATAGCCAAGGCAGCTAAACCGGCCGTGTCTCCTGTGGCTTTGTTGGCCAGCTCCTCAGATTTCGACCCATAATACCTGATGTACATGCCCAGCGCCACCAATGCAAGACCGGAAAGCTGAAAAGGTAAAAGAGAAAGTTATAATATTATCATTTACGAACGAGTAAAATACGACCATATATTAGTATAATAATTATTACAATATTCTATGGATTAGGGGTGGGCATGAATAATTAATATTGGGGTTCAAAAGATTATTATAAGTAAAATATGAGATCCGGAAACAAAATATATGTTATTATATTACTATACATTTACTCTATGAGTTATTATTAATGTTTAATTACAAATGTATAATATTATGAGACAGTTATAATCTATTAGTTTGATAAAGCAAACAATATAATATATATGTATGTTTTTCATTAATCATTAGATAAAAATTATTTAAAAAATCAAATTAATTATAAATGTATTAAAGTAAGATATGTTTACTGTCAAATTGTATGCTTATAATTATTTTAACATAATTACATCATACATTGTAACTAATAAATTACCATCAGTACATGAAACATTTATATCGATTTGAGTGGAATATAATTATCGAATATCCCACAAAAGTCATATTCCATAGTAGTAGTGTTACTAGCAAATGTTTTAACACAATTAATCAATTAATGATTACATAATTATTAATGCTAAGAATTACAATTATATTCGTCACGTAGAATAAAAAACTTAAAAACCCTCACGAATAAATATTTTAATGCTTTAATGCGAATTTATAGAAATAATGATAATATGTACAAGAAGAACAGAAAATTAAAAAAAAAAAAATGTGAAATACACATCGGTTAAAGTATTCAATACTGTATTTTAACATTATAAATACTTTTTCAAAATCATTATTTTCTAGAATTTAATTATTAAATGAATTGAACGGTTTCCTTTTAAAATGTCTTAAATTTTTATATTTTTATATCCCTACGAGAAATCCTACAAATATATTACCTACGCAAATTACTATATTCATCGTTTTGGTGTCATACAAATCGTAAGAAATATCATTAAATAATTAAAAATATAAAATAAATCGTGTGACACACAGAATAATTTACGTTCAACTGCAAACAAATAAGCACTTGAGAATTTTCACCTGCAAAATACAAATTTAAAGATTTTCGAATACTTTGATGCATAAAACATGATTCATTGAACGTCATAAGACACTTGCGGACTGCGCAACGTATTAATCAGCACACTCTTCCCACAAATATCTAGCGCCAACTGATTAAAATATCATTTATCATTTCTAATGCAAAAAAATATTGAATATCAATTAACACTTAACCGTTTTTTTCCGTTTATCATTCACCAAATGTTTGCGGTTAGCCGCACTTTGATGTTTTATTTTTAAGCAGTACAGTATAAACACGAATAGAACGTAAAAGATAAAGAACCGACTGAAGAAATAATATTTGGGTGCAAACTAGTAGTTATATATATATACATATTAAATTATAAATAGTGCGATATTTTGTAAAACGCAATCGTTTTCAATGTCAACTTTTAAATCAAATCGACCGCCACAGGTTGTAGCGAATCTTGCGACGTCAATCTTGTTTTATTTCAATGCATTTTTATTTTCTGTTACAAACAAACGAAATAAAATTGACAAATCACGTGTATCCCACGATCGATTCGCCACTTTGGTGTCTATGATAATATTATAATCTGAACACATCGAAACACGGGTAACATCAATTGAATCGTACATCGGGTAATATACGGTCCGGAACAATGAATAATTTCACCATATTATTACGACAACGAGTTCAAATGAAATCGAGTCCTGATGGTCGGGAAAGAAGTTTTTTTATTTAAGACAATATTGAACGATTTTTTGCAAAAAGGTATGAAAATGCGTCGCTGGAAGGACTTGATGATTTTGTTGTGCCATTCGCCATTGTGTTTCCGAAATCTACAAATACGTCACAGCTTATCTAACAAACTGTTACGAAAATAATTTTAATTATTCGTTTGTCCCGTTGTCTAGCTACGTATAAACAACATAATAATGATACAGTTTCCCGAGGAAACCAATAAATGTACCACACAAAGTACGAATTTGGAAACCGTAAGCTCGGTAGTTCTGTTTCTAACTTTCTCACGAACACCCGTACGTATATAAAGTATCTGTAGCAGTACAAGATATTATTTCTCAGTCGAATCGGTATTCGACTTCATCCCGGACGCTACCGAAAACAGTCAGCAAAAGTAGCGTGCACTGCGGCGAGTGTCGGCCACCGTTGTTTTCCCGACGGGGCGAAGGATCACAAACGTCGCAACATCGTTTTAGAGGTGACGTGTTAAAAGGTTTCGCTAGGTCCGATATCAGTCCGTTTTCGTTCAACACGACCATTGTTCGTTATAGGAAATCGATTGTATTATCACGGTGCAGATGGATAGGTTTCCATTTCCCGTCGAACAGCAGCCGTCGACCGCGGGCCGGCGAAGATCAGTGCCACGGACGATGCCGGCGAAATGGAAGGCCGCGAGCAACGTACGCTCGCTGTCCGTGTACTTGGAGCCCAAATTGTATGAGAAAGGCGTCAAGTTCATATCGAGTATGAACGAGTACTACTTGAAACGCGATCCGGTCCGTTTCAAGATGTACTTGGACGTGTACGGGAAAATCGTCATGGACGACGAAGTTGCGAAGTTTCGGGCCAAAAAGAAGATTGAAAAGCTTTACGGTGACTTGATCGTCCAGTTGGCGTGAGAAGAGTTTGCATATCATCTACATCGCTTTTTGTATTTCCCTTCTTCTCTTTGTATTTTTTTCCAAGCCTTTTTATTTTTTTAAGGTTCAATCAATTTGTTTTTTTTATACATATTTATTATACAATTAACCCGCATAATATTATGTGTTTTCTCATGTTATACATTATTATTTTTATACCATTAACATGACACAAAACGCCTAGTGATGGCGGGGGTCGGGAATTCATAAAACATAATATATAGTTAACGGTCTTGGTTTTTTTCTTTTTAAAAAATATTTAATAATATAATTACTGTGATTATTGATAAGTGTACTCCCATTATTTTATAATTATTGTGAATTATTGTAACATACTTTTAAAATGTTAATGTTTAATTACTATATTTATGGTTTCGATGTCTTGAATATACAAATCATAAAAATTATCACTTAGCAATAAAAAACATAAAATAAAATGTGTAAAAAATAATTTACAAAATAATAGGCACTGGAGAATTTTCATCAGAAAAACTCATATTTAAACATTCGAGTACTTTGGTGTAAAAAGTATGATTCATTTCTCGTCATAAAATAATCTTTCAGGACGTTATATTCATAAATGTTACTAACAATTAAAATAGAATTTATCTTATCAAGTAAGAAAAAATAGCAAATAAAATACTGATGACACACACGCTCTTATAATAATATCAATACACATAATCTTAGATGCTTCAAAGGGCAATAAAATAATGTAAATCATGATTCATACACATGATTATATATTGTATACTAACGTTTGTCAGAAACTTCCTTTGTCAATATAAAACTTCATGTTATGCATATAATACGTTGATATAATCATAGAACGTTTCAAAGACTTGGTAATTTCAGTCGTCCAGGACACGACTTCCGGAATAGTTCGTATTTTACATAAACGCATATTTTAGGCTGTGATATTACAACGACGACGGTTAGTGGCGAGTCAATCGATTGGACCTATTATTATTATTATAATTATTATAATATTATTATTACACTATCGAGGGCCCAGAAGGCGATTGCACTCGTTGGCCAGTCCCTCCGACGCCCGTGTATCGTATGCACGTACGAACTCTTTAAAAAACGTATCGCACCGGTTTGGCTACCGCGGCGGGTGCGTAAAACATCGTGTCCCGTACCGGAAACAATGAAAGGTGGACACGACAAAACGGTCCCCCGGTCACGGTGCACTCTTATTGTTTCACGTGACGCGCGTAGTGTACGCGATAATCGTTCTCGGGCGTACGTCATTAGTCGCGTATTATTGTCATATTACGTACGTTTTCGTGTCCGCAATAATGTTTACTAATTAGCTAATATTTGTACGCCCGGGAAGTGTATTTCACGTTTTTTGGATTACAACGCATAAAAAGAACTGAGCGCGTTCTATTTCGATTCAACCAAACGTAGCGGTGTACTATTATATACCTCTGGATAGGATTGGCGTTGACGATCCTCGTTACTGGTCAGCAGGGGTGGGAATTTCGACCTAATTCAACGATTCGACTCGCTCGACTCGATTCATTCCGATAATTTAATTTGGTGAGTCAACTCCTAATCCAATAAGTTTTTATCCACTATATGTTTAATTTTAGATGATAACCACGAATTCAACGAACTAGATAATTCAACTGACACAACCATAGAATAATACCGTATATAATACTATGTGTACTACTATGTCATTCTATGGACACAACTCAAAAGTCATGTACTGGCAAAACGATAACATTAAGTCGGGAACTGATAAGAACTACGAGGTTAACACTGAGTCATTCGGTCGTTGAACAATGGCACACTGATTCAACTCATTCGGTTCGCCTAAAATAGTCGGCTCTTTGAATGAACTCACTCACTACTCATACCTACTAGTTATTATTATTATTTGGGTTATGTAATTTATGTATTAAAAATCTATGCACGAAAACTTGCTCCGTAATGTTCTCCGTAATTTAAAACAAAAAAATCGCGTAACGAGTGGATAAATAAAGTTCTATATCCACACCGTGACAAAAATGCACATTTAATCGTTCAGCGTTTAGTGTTTTCACTGCTGTTACCTACAAACGATTTGCGAACGCACAACGATGGTTCGGTACGCAGTCGATAGCAGAATAATTATTCCGCGACTCGTAATAGTAATATTCGGTTTGATTGATGTGCACGCTCGCAAAATAAACAAAAAAACAGACCGTTTTGTGACTGCATTCGGTATGCTATACATATATACATATTACAACACTGTGCAAATGGGTCCATTTTTTTATTTTTTTATTCCGTTTCAATTTTACACAACATTTAACTCAAT